ATGAATTTCAGTTCACAATTGTAAAAGAGTGTTTTACCAGAGTATATTCATAAGTAAAAGGAGAATTTGGCACAATACCAAACAATGATGCATAATAAATCCAAGGATAATTTTCCTTTGAAGAGCATGTGTCTGACAATGAAAGAGATAAAGACCATTTTGAAACTTCAACACTCAAATATAAGGTTACAACAAAGCATCATTGAGGTTGCCATCTTCTGGCAAAACACGAGTAATCATTCACAGATGGTGAAGCAATTAAAAAAGTGATGACTGTGGCCAATCTCTCTGTATTCAAAAACTTTAAGAACAAAGAAGTAATAATAATGACAATCCAGAGCATATCTCTTGGAGCATCCATAGTAGCAAGACAAGTGGCACATTTGTCCAAACACGTTTTTCAGCAATGACCACAGGACCTGAAGGACTGGGAATGCTTCTCACTGCAGTTTGATGAATCCATTGATATGATCAACACAGCCCAATGATTGTTTTTGTGTGCACAATCTTCAGTGATGCAATAACTCAGGACGACCATCTCACCCTTTGGTACTTAAGAACAATGGGTGTGGATATCTACAACAGGTTCAGAAGATAAGTGCTTGAGATAAACGTTCCAATCAAGAAACTAGTTTCCATCATAACTGATGATGCATCAGTCGTGCCCGGTGTAAATGTAGGCTGTGCTGCATTTCACAGGAATGATCCTGATTTTCCATCTGTTGTCAATTACCACTGCATAATCCACCAGCAAGCATTAAAGTTATGGATTTTTGGCATGTAATAAAAGTTGCTAAGAATGTAAACTCAATAGTTTAAATCCTTACTCGATGAACTTGATGCTGCCTACTATAAACTAATCCTTCATGCAGTGTTGAGGCAGTTAAGTCAAGGGAAGATCCTGTAAAGTTTTAAATCTATTGCTTGAAATCATTACTTTTCTTAAAACAGGGAATAAAGTGTACAATAGGACATTGCGCGGTTATTCAACTTTTGGATGCCTTATAGACATAACATCAAAACTGAACAAGCTGAATGGTGAACTGCAGGGAAAGGACAGAGACTTAGAGCATAGGATCAGTGCTGTGAATGCATTCAAATTGAAACTGGGTTTGCAATCTTCCCAACTAAAAAAAAAGTGACAACACTGAGTCTGGAGAAAATATTGGAGAAAAAAGTCAAAGAGAAACGGTTCCACTTACAAACCATCTGTGCACACCTGAGGAAGTTAGCCGAGAAACTCAAGATGCGATTTCAAGAATTAGGTATGATGGAACAAATCATTACATTTGTTTCAAATCCATCCCTTCAAATAGACCTTGGTGAATTGGCTACCAAATTCCATCAGGTGTTCGATTTTCAAAGTTGTTATGCAAAATGATATGGAGCTGAAATTCAGATCAAGGATAATGATTTCTGGGGGCTCAAACAGAGAAAAATACACGGTTCTGTCATCCTGTGCTTTCAAAGTGAAAACTTACTTTGACTCCACATACATCTGCGAGACAGAATATGAAGATAATCAAGTCTAGATATTGCACCCAACTCAGAAATGCCCATTTGATGGACTGTATACAAGGCATACATAAACACAAGGCATTGGCAGAGAATGTATAGTCACAGGTGTCACACTGAGTCTTGGTGGTCTGAAGACAAAGTGAATAATTATATTTACTCCATTCCAGATTTATATAGAACTGAAAAAAAAACTATTTATTCCATATTTTCTTTGGGATAGATTCTGGGTCGCATTTAAATTCAAAAATTGATCTTGTGCTTAAACATAATCCATTGCCTCAAGCTATTAATGTCAAATTCTAAATTTCACCATCAAACAGCAACTACTTTATTCTCATGTATTTGTTTCTCATTATTAGCTAATTACACTTTATTTCTATTCAGCTTACAATTCTCCTGAGAAACTAGATGTAATAATTCCTAATTTGAAAGTCAGCATGGTTACCTGGCAGCTGTAGCTTGTCACTTGCTTCTGCGGCCTCTGATCTGAAGCCCCTTTAACAACATCCTGGAACAACCCATGGGCAGTGCCTTCCTCCATCCTTCATCTGCTGAAATCAACAAACAACCAGCCACTCCACATTATCATGGCTGATCTCGGTCCAGGTCAGAATCCACTTCAGACCTTCAGGACTTCACTTTGAAGGTCAAGAGCACCTTTAACTAACATTCTCCTGCCAGGTCACCTTGTGTACAAGGACACAGCCATCTCATACATCTATACAGGTTGAATCGTATGGCTTTATTGGCAATCAATCATTCACTTTGCACATATTGGAAACTGTCAGCCTCTAAGGGTTGCATAGTTTTTCAGCCACAGGGCAGGAATGGTGAGTGGTTGTGGAGGACGTGGTGAGTGAGAACCATTGAGTGGAGATGCTGCATGACATAGTGAAGTTGGTAGTCCATGAGCGTTAGTGAGGTTTGGGTGAGCCGGAGGTAGTAGGGAGAAGATGGTGGTACATACCAGCGGCCAGTGTGTCAGGTAGCTCCTGGCTTGCAATATCTGAAATAGATTATAGTTGAGTTTGCTGCCTGCCTGACTAATTGCGCAACAAGGAGGCCTAATTAATGAGGTAAGGAGTGGAAGATTGCATGAGGAAGGGTGTTGTGGGCCATGATGGTATATCCACCATAAAACTCTGAAAATAAGAGCTTATAAATAGGAAAATCTGGCCTTATATATCTATTGACCTCAAGAGTAGAATACTTATTCAGAGGGGTACCCTATGTCGAATTGGAGTCCAATGTGACACTTACACTTTTGCTGGTCTCTCTTGGGTCACTGCATAAAATTGGAACCAAATCTAATGAAAACACCAATAATGGCCAATGTGTCTTTCTGCCATCCTTGTCTTCATTACAGACTTTGGATTTCTACCATCTACAGGATGTGATATGTGCAAGGAGCATCTCCAACCATCACCCTTGAAGTTCAATAGCATTACCATTTCTGCATCTCCCACTAACAACATTCTGGGAGTCACCATTGACCAGAAACTCAAATGGAACCAGCTATGTAAATATTATGGCCAGAGAGCAGGTCAGAGGCTAGGATTCTTGCAGCAGGTAACACAACTTATGTCTCCTCATGACTGCTTGCCATCTACAAGGCACATGACAGAAATGTGATGGAAGACTCCCCACTAGCCTGGATGGATACAGCTCCAACAACACTCAACAAGTTCAACACCATCTAGGTCAAAGCAGCCTGTTTGATTGGCACCACACCCAACACTTTCAATATCCACTTCCTTCACTACTGACACTCATGGGGAGGCAATGGCCTAGTGGTATTATCACTGGACTGTTAATCCAGAGACACAGATAACATTCTGGAGACCCGGGTTCGAATTTGAATTCAATAAATATCTGGAATTAAGAACCTAACAATGACAGTGAATCCATTGTCGATTGTCATAAACGTGTGACTTCATACCCACTGCAATGTGGTTGACTCTTGACTGCCCTCTGGGCAATTAGGGATGGACAATAAATGCTGCCGAGCCAGTGACGCCCTCATCCCGTGAATGAATAAAGGAAAAAAAACACTCAGTGGTATCAGCATGTACCATCCTCAGGATGCACTACAGTAATTCACCAAGGCTCCTCTGACAACACCTTTCAAACTTGTTACCTCTTCCACCTCAAATGACAAGGACAGCAGGCTCATGGGTACATTAGCGCCTGCAAGCTCCTCCCAAGCTACACACCATCCTGACTTGGAAATATATTGCTGTTCCTTCACTGTCGCTTGGTCAACGTCCTTGAACTCCCTTCCAAACAACATCGTGTGCATCCATACAACATAAGGGCTGCAATAGATCAAGAGGGCAGCTCACTACTACCCTCTCCAGGGCAATTAGCAATGGACAATAAATGCTATCATAGCAAGTGATGCCCACATCCCATGAACAAATAAAAAAAATCCTGACAACAGAGTGTGGGGCTAAACCACATAGTTCACAATACAGGGGTTGTTGTTAGATCCTAGTTGAATGATCTGTGCCATCATCAAGATCTCTTTATTTCCATTTTCATAGTGTCAGTTATACCTTGGTTATCTCTAGACTTGACCATACAAATGCACTCTTATCTAATCTCCCATCTGTCACTCTTGGCTGCCTGCATCCTAATTCATATATCATCTCGCAGACATATATTGGTTCCTGCATAAATAATAGTACAACTTAAAATTTGCATCCTATTTTCAAATCCCTCTCCTGGGTTCACCTTTCCTACCTCTGGAATCCCACAAAGGTGAACTGCAGGGAAAGGACAGAGACTTAGCACATAGAATCAGTGCTGTGAATTCATTCAAATTGAAATCAGGTCTGTGATCTTCCCAACATCTCAAAGTATCTTACCTTCCCAAATTCTGGCCATTTGTGCATCCTTAGTTTTATTTGTCCCTTAACTTGCAGCCATGCCTTCAGCTGTTGAAGTGTTTAACTCTGGTAATCCCTTCCTAAACTCTCTACCTCTTTATCATCATTTGATGCGCTCTTTGACCAAGCTATTTGCTCATCTACCATAATATCTCATGCAGCTTAGTCTCAAGTTTAATTTGGAAGTACACTTATAAAGCACCTTGGGATGTTTTATTGTGCAAGAAGTATCAAAATGCAAGTAGCTTTCGTTGTACTGCTGCTTACAATATGTGAATAAGCTTGATCTGTGAAGGACTGGAGTCGAGATATCTCTGTACTTATTGAAATGGCATTTCTCCAGAAAGGATAAAATCTCTGTTCTCAAAGTTATTGTTTCACAACCACTTGATGACAAAGGAAGGTCGAAGAAATGAGGATTTCAAAGACAGAGAAAGAAGATCTTATAAAAAAATGTAACATCACGGTGCTGACTAGTCTGAACAAAAATAATAAAAAAGTCAGACAACAAATTTGTCATTAAATAATATAATTTTCAGTAAAATTAAAAATGATGTTAAATTAGTTATAAGGTAAACACTGCAATAACCTGAAAAATTTTAACAAAATAATTTATTCAAAACGATAAACCGATTTGAAATGCTTGTGGTTTGTAGATTCTCAGAATTGAACATACAATATCCAAGGGGTACATTGCAGTGACAGAAACGATATTCTCGATCATTACAACGCCTTCACAGTTTCATCAGCTCATTCTTTACAAGGGCCTTGTACACATGCCATTGTTTTGCCTGGATTTCAGCTTCAATTCCTAACTCCATACATTTTGTTAAATCTGAGTTAAATCTGAGCTCCCTACAAATCCAGCACAAAATCTAGTTTGTATGTCCTGAGAACAGTTTGTAAACATGGGTATGTGATTTTGCCAGCTGGATGAGGGAGGCGGATTTAACAGTGAGAACATGGAGGCATAGTTAATGGAGACTCATCCTGGAAACGAAAGTAAGTAAACACCAGAGTACAGGTGACAACCCTTTCACCATACACAATGAGTTACAACAGAGAGCTACTGAAAAAAAACCCCAAGAGCCCGTCCTGCATCAGGATCTGAACAGCACAGACTGATTTAGTGCAGTGTCGTAATCAAAACCTTATTTTACACCAATCATTAAGTTGTAACTCTGGTGGACTTGTAGTAAACAATACAGTAATTTGGTGGTAATCTGGGTCAAACAAATAACCAGTTTTGGATGCTTACATAAAGCAAAACTGAAAGGAACACGGCAACAAGTAACAGTAAGTCCCGTCATTACTTCTTGCATTGGAATGACTCCTGCAAACTTCATGGCCAAACCTTAGATCAAGAGGCATCTCAATATTGAAATTATTGATCTTCACTTTTGTAACAATAAAGTTTGACAAGTTACAATAGTTAATATTGCAAATTTCATAACAATGACAAATTCACTATGTATTATCACCTGGTTACAAAATAGGGAGAAAAACATTTGAATCACCATCTTGTTCTTGTTGAATATTTGCTGAGTTTTCACTGTAACACAGAGAATGGGACATATCCATTCTGAAGTGGGGTAGGGAGGGGGGAGTGGTGTCACTGGACACCAAAAAGTTAACTTTGCTTTCTCTCCACACCTGCTGAGCTTTCCCAGCAATTTCTGTTCTTGTTTCCGATTTCCAGCATCCACAGGTTTTTGTTTTGGGCCATATCCAATTGTTGCCAGCCATTTCCCATTGATGATCAATGTGTACTAAATCACTTACTGAGGACAGTAATTGATTTTTAAAAGAGATTTTCCCCGCACTTGAGGTAGTTCCACTTGTGTTATCAGTCCTCAATCAAATGACTCAGCTAATTCATCACAAAAGTCTTCATACCCAGATGCACTAACATTCATATTTGCCAGCAGGAAACACTGGATCAACGAGCTTTGAAGGTGCGACCAATTTTCTTATCATTTCACGTTGCAACACTGTTACCAACTGCTGTGCACTACTGATCAGATACTTCAGTACAAACCAGAGATTGACCAGGAACCCTTCCAGGTTGTAGGTTTAATGTCACGTGATGGAGTGCATTTACCCATCTAACCATCAGGGGAATTGACTATTTATATGAGAATTGTCTGAATGAGTGTGCCAGATGAAACTGAAGCAGGCCAAAGGTGAAGGAAGGAAATACATCTTTAGCTACACATTTTGAAACAATTAAACTCAAACTGAATGTACACTCCCTCCTCAAATGTAACTAGGACAATTGAGAATACAATGATGAATGACTGATTGACTGCCTTAATGGGCAGACCAAATATGACTCATTACTTCTGCTGAAATTTGCTGAAGCCAAATTACATGATAAGTTATATCACCATGTTTCACTGTAGCACCCTGTTAGTAATGCAGGAACTCTCAAATTGAGTACCTGATCAGATGGTTACTTCTAGGATTTATTTGTTCAGGACAAGTATAAAAAGGAACTACATGTACTGATACTCCAATAGCTGACATAAATATTTTTCTGCTTTTCATTCAATCAAAACCTTTTTTAAAATGAACTGCCCTTACATTGATTACTTTTAAGAAGGGCTACACAAAACAGGAGGAACCAGTTTGACTCTCTGTCAAGTTACAGGTCTCTTCTCAGTCACCCCTCCCACCAAACCACAGCAGCTCAAATAATTGGAACTGAAGAAATGACTGGGGAGTTTTCCAGACAATGACCTGGAGTCACACTGTTGCAATGCTGGAGATTCCCTTTGTCATAACTCATTTCTAAAACTAAATCTTATTAAACTTGAAGCTAAACAAAAGAAAAAAAAATGTAGATAATTATCTGGCCACACTGCTGCAGCAGAGAGTACCCAGACTGTAATGCTAACAAACAACATGCTATAGAGCCCTTCATGGTTCCAGCGGCAACTCTCGATTCGGCTGGACAGCCAATGCTGTCAGTCATCGCTTCAGTACACCGCTCCTGAAGTACCCCACAGAATGAACAATTACCACCAAACGCTGACATTGTAAAGTTATCGCTGTCATTCCAGTATAACCTCTTTTGGTGTGAGAGGCAAAGTTCTTGAGCTTCAGATGGTCAAGTGAAGCACTCAAGCTCGATACATCTGGGAGGAATGTCCTTCTGTTGAAAATCAACGTGTTGGACTCCACTGAGGTGGACCCCCTGTGTAACTGTAACTCTCCTCATGGCTGAGACATTCATGGGTCATGGATCTGGCAAATCTGAGGTATCAACAACTACTTTTATGAAGATAGTGTCATCTTTAATATATGTCCCACTTTCCAAGACAGTCTGTGCAACAAACAGCGGGCAGCCTGAAGCAATATTCATCTCTCCCACTGGCTTCTTAAAACTACTACTATTGGGATCTGGCTTAAAGGCATCGCCTAAATGGCTTTTTGCCGGCGCTTGGTCTAATAGCATCAACGTTACTTTCTGTTTAAAAGGCCACGGTAACAGTGCGTCATACTCTCCCCGCATAACGACAAAAAACAGTGATAAGTGAGTTCCTTTGCCCATGCCATCTCCGTTGAGGTAAACCCGAGCACACATTTTGTAGCCAAAATATCCAGTGTAAAACGGTTGGCTATACAAGGACAATGTCTTTCCACTAACGGCTTCCTGTTTTCGGCGAGCGTAATCTCGGATTTTCCAAATCAGTTTTCCATTGTAGCTTGCAGTTTCGAGAACTTGAAAGCGTAGGTCCATATCTGCTAAGCGCACATCATGTACACTGAGTAGGCTGCCATGTCTTTTTACTTGGTTATCCAATGCAGCTGCAAGGAGAAGATATTTTAAACTTAAAAAGCTTTTATTTGAACCAAGCAATTTTGAGCAGAATAATCTGATAACTTGTTTCCAACCATTAAGAGTTGTGAAACTTGAGAGGGTACAGAAAAGATTTCCAAGGATGTTGCCAGGGTTGGAGGGTTTGAGCTACAGGGAGAGGCTGAATAGCCTGGGGCTATTTTCCCTGGAGCGTTGGAAGCAGAGGGGTCACCTTATTGAGGTTTATAAAATCATGAGGGACATGGTTGGGGTGAATAGACAAGGTCTTTTTCCCCAGGGTGGGGAAGTCCAAAACTAGACGGCATAGGTTTAAGGCGAGAAGGGAAAGATTTAAAAAGGTCCTGAAAAGCAACTTTTTCACGCAGAGGATATGCATGTATGGAATGAGCTGCCAGAGGAAGTGGTCAAGGCAGGTACAATTACAATTTAAAAGCAATCTGGATGGGTACATGAATAGGAAGGGTTTAGAGGAATATGGGCCAAATGCTGGCAAATGGGACCAGATCAGTTTAGGATAACTGGTCAGCATGGACCAGTTGGACCAAAGGGTCTGCTTCCTTGCTGTATGACTTTATAACCACACACTCCAGATTGGGGAGCCAGCAGATCAATAAAAGCATTTTTATTTTTAGAAAAGTACTGCAACAAAACCACTGCTATGGCCAGATCCAGACACTAAATAAATCATTTTTACTGAACTTAATTAACTACTCTAAAGATTGCCACATTGTTAATGCACCCTAAGCCGTGAACTCAACATTACTTACGGAACCAGGTGGATTGCTCCTAAATTGCAACAAGCGACATTAGAAATGGGGTTATGACACTGTACTCACTCAGGTTTCCTGCTCCTGTGCCCATCCCACCAGCTCTGCCCGCTAGTTCCAGCTGTCTCAGTTGGATTTGGAGCTTGTCTACAGATTCTTCCAAAGTTTTCACCTCTCTCACAGACTCCTCCTGTTTCTGGTATGTCTGTTGTGATGCTTGATCAATATTCATCAATTTATCTGTCTGACTAGCTAACATTTTCTACAAAAAAAACAACAAAAACAGCAAATTAAAAGTTGTTTTTGACACAATGTGAAGGATTTGTTTTTTTAAATAAATCTTAACCTAGGATCGCAGCATTGAGAATTAGACCCAAACTCAATGTTAGAAAGCAAAATAACACATGCTGGTACATTTCTAATATGTGAAGTAAAATGGGAAGGTGAAACAAATGATATTACTTTATAAATAACAGAACGCCCTTTTTATAAAAAAGAACTTACTGGTGCAGGAGAGACAGGAAACACTTGGAGTTAAGGACAATCACAAAAAATATTTGGACAGCAACAGAGAATCATTTAGAATAGATAATTGAGAATGAGGAGTAAAACAGGCTTCCAAACAAGGCAGATCAGAGACAGTCAACAGGCAAGTGTAATATTGATTGACAGACATCAACTAGAGACTAGAAATAGATAAACACAAGGGTCAATTAATAGGAAGCTGTATAGAAATAGTGGAAGCATAAGGTAGCATATTGAAGGCTATTGCTACTTTCAGGAACTTGTGAGTGCAGGGATAGTCAGAAACATGGTTTAACCCAGAGGCTGTAAATTAAGGGCTATAGAACGGCACGGAAAAGGTTAAATAGTTTTTCAAAACCAGGGAGGTAAATGAAATTGCTCTTTTTGGATATAGAAAACTACAAACTCACCTACTCTGGTTAGTCAGTCTAACGTAAAATAACTTACACTTAACTCACTGAGTAGGCTGGTTAGCACAAGGAGGAAAATTTAATCCTTGACGAGGTAAGAGGAGTATGTGAGAACTGGCAGGTTATTCTGATGGGAATCTTCAATCTACCCAAATGAGGGAACTCCAAGCCAGAAGTGAGAAATTTATCAAGTTATAATGCTGAGCATGCAGAATGAATACATTCACAAAATTTATAAGTTCAGACTAAATACACTGGACCCTAAATGATCTAACTAATTATTTAAAAGTGGCAGGGAGAAAAAAGCAAAACAAACTACAGAGGAAGATCTATAAAAACCCAACATGAAGTTAAGAGAAGTGGCTCACTGGAACAAACATATGTAAATGTACAAACATTAAAATGTAGAAAGAACTAAGCCTGCAAAAAATAAAGTTTTTTTTATTCATTTGTGGGATGTGGGCGTCACTGGCTGGCCAACATTTCTTGCCCATCCCTAGTTGCCCTTGAGAAGGTGGTGGTGAGCTGCCTTCTTGAACCGCTGCAGTCGTCCTGCTGTGGGTTGACCCATAATGCTATTAGGGAGGGAATTCCAGGATTTTGACCCAGTGACAGCAAAGGAACAGCGATATATTTCCAAGTCAGGATGGTGAGTGCTTGGAGGGGAACTTGGAGGTGGTGGTGCTCCCATACATCCACTGCCCTTGTCCTTCTAGATGGAAGTGGTCATGGGTTTGGAAGGTGCTGTCTGAGGATCTTTAGTGAATTTCTGCAGTGCATCTTGTAGATAGTACATACTGCTGCTACTGAGCATCAGTGGTGGAGAGAGTGGATGCTTGTGGATGTAGTGCCAATCAAGCAGGCTGCTTTGTCCTGGATGGTGTTGAGCTTCTTGAGTGTTGTTGGGGCTGCATCCAGGCAAGTGGGGAGTATTCCATCTCACTCCAGACTTGTGCCTTGTCAATGGTGGACAGGCTTTGAGGAATCAGGAGGTGAGTTACTTGTCGCAGTATTCCTAACTTCTGGCCTGCTCTTATAGTCACTGTGGTGAGTCCAGTTGAGTTTCAGGTACAGAAGCTAGGATTAAATATAATAAAAGAACTCTAATAGGCTGACAAACTAATCACAAATTCCGTTGACTTTTATGTTTAGAAATCTGGCTAACCTTCTAGAGCAAATTATATCCTGGGCATGGCCATTAAGACATTCCCACTAACTAGGATCTGCAGATACCAAAGTATTCCTCATCCATGTCAATAGCTCTTACCTGCATGTATCCAAGCCGACTTTCATTCTTACTTGCGAGCTGTGCTAATTTACTTTGTTCCTTCTCCAAGTGGCTTATCTGAGCTGACATAACGTCAATCATTTTAGACTTTTCCTGCAACTTATTCTGAAGTTCTAAAATCTGCAATGAGACAAAAAAAAATGCTGTTACTAAACAGTCCCTTATAAACCAGCATGCAATACATGTCACTTCACAAGGGATTATGAATTCAAGTCCAGACTGAATTGACATTTTCATATTTGTCACAAGTTGCAGAAATTATTAAAATGATCATTTTTGCAAAATCCACAAGAAGATTTTATCTGCCTATCTTATCTGCCTATTGAGAGTTGGGTGACCTGAGCGTCAGGTTCTCTTATAGACACAATAATCACCTGATTTCAGACAAATTTGATGCCATCAAATTTTCAATTCTCTCTTGGAAAGAAAGCACCAGTAACTTGGTGATGAGGGGAGATTGAATTTTACTGCGGCTATTAATTTGCCTGAATTTTCATACCTCCCATTGTAATAATCTGACGTACATAGGTCAAATCGCTTTTATATTGGAGACACTGGAGCCACTCAATCGGTGCTTTAATAAAACAAATTAAACATTTAGGACATGAAATTACTCTCTAACTGATGTTCAGATGAGACATTAAATAAAACTGGAAAAATGATCTAAATATTTCCACAAAATATCTGAATCTAAGTTAAATTAGAAGTAGAAAGTTGTGGTATACACTTTACAATTTAATTTAGCCCAGTACAAAATTGAGTATGATCCAGTTAATGGCTAAACATATACGCAAAGTATTGCTGCAAAAAGGACAAATCAATTCCAGTGAACACCAGTGTTCTTTTGCATAGTGAAGAAATCTGAGTTTAGAGTGAAGAAAAAAAAGAAAGGGTGTGTCACTGCTTATTCAATAGTTCTTAGATGTCTAGACTTAGGAGTTTATAGCTGGAACAACACCCAAAAATATCTTAAATGATAATGTATAGCGTCCATTGGGTTTTGGCTAGCTGTAGTCAAAACAGATCAAAGATGACAAAATGGCACAAAAATAATTCTTCCTTGCCACAGTTTACAGTTTTCAAAACCGTGGTATTAACTTACTAACGGAATATCATTTGAGATATTGTGTCAAAAAGCTAATTGCTTCTAAATAAAGGAAAATGAAGGAAAATAAGTTGGATAAAAGCAACCGTAAAGCAAATGTAAATCAAAATATTGGAGCATCTTGTATTTGAGAGACGTTCATGAAGTAAAACAAAGAGCAACGTATGTTAAAACACACACCTAATGAGAGTCAATGACGGTGGAGGGAAGCCACCTCTGTTCTGAATGTTCTAAATATGACATAAGTATCAACAATGGCTTCCATAAACATTTTGATGGAGAACTGGAAGATTATGTATGTTTAGTAGAAAGAGGTCAAGAGAAACAGTGGAACAGTCTTTTCTCCCTGATCCAGTCCCTGCCCATGTATATCCGCAATTCCTCTGATGTTTTACGCCAGTTTCGGAACTTCCAGTTTGCAGGCTCCAGCTGCCTTCTCTTTCCCACAGATGTGCAATCCTGTTACATGTCCATCCCCCACCAGAATGGTCTCAGGGCTCTTAGCTTCTTCTTGGAGCAAAAGCCTGACCATCCTCACCCACCACCACCCTCCTCTGTTCAGCCCAGCCCGTCCTCAACCTCAACAACTTCTCTTTTAATTCCTCTCATTTTCTTCAGGTCAGCCAGGTGGCTACGGGTACCCGCATGGGCCCCAGTTATGCCTGTCTCTTCGTGGGGTGTGTGGAACATTCCTTGTTCCAGTCCTATTCCAACCCCACCCACAACTCTTTCTCCAATATATCGATGATAGCATCAGTGCAGCTTCTCTCTCTTGTCCAGAATTGGAAAAAAATCATCAATTTCGCTTCCAATTTCTACTCTGCCCTCACTTTCACCTGGTCTCTCTCTGACTCCTCCCTCTCCTTCCTCAACATCTTTGTTTCCATTTCTGTGGATAATCTGGCCACTAATATCCACCTTAAACCCACCAATTCCTACAGCTGCCTGGATATACATCCTTGTACCCTGCTTCCTGTAAAGACTCCATTCCATTCTCCCAGTTCCTCCATCTCTGTCGCACATGTTCTGGTGATGCCAACTTTGACAAGGGAGCCTCCTAAATGTCCACCTTCTTCCTCAACCAAGGATTCCCCAGCACCATTGTCGACAGGACCCTCAACCGAGTCCGACCCATCCCCCGCACTTCCGCCCTCACCCCTTCTCTTCCCTCCCGCAACAGCAATCGGATTCCCTTTGTCCTTACCTACCATCCCACCAGCATCTACATCCAGAAGCTGCCATTTCCGCCACCTCCGAGATGTTACCATCAGACACATATTACCCTCTCCTCCCTTGTCTGCCTTCCGCAGGGACTGTTCCCTCTGGGACACCCTGGTCCACTCTTCCTTCACACCCAACAACTGCCACCACACCCCACCCCCCCCCAAACACCTCCTGCGGTACTTTCCCCTGTAACCGCCGAAGGTGCAACACCTGCCCAGTTACCTCCTCCCTCCTCAGTATCCAAGGACCCAAACATACCTTCCAGGTGAAGCAGCACTTCACCTGCACTTCCCAGAATCTAGTCTATTGCATTCGCTGCTTACAATGTGGTCTCCTCTACATTGGGGAAACAAAGCGTAGACTGGGTGACCGCTTTGCAGAACACCTACGTTCTGCACACAAAAATGACCCTGAGCTTCCAGTTGCCTGCCACTTCAACACACAACCCTGTTCCCTGGCCAACATCTCTGTCTCAGGCTTGCTGCAGTGTTCCAGCGAAGTTCATAACAAGTTGAAGAACAACACCTCATTGTCTGCTTAGGGACCCTGCAGCCCTCCAGACTCAGTATCGAGTTCAATAATTTTAGGGCCTAAACTCTCCCATGTCCTAGCCCCCTACACCACACACCAGGCCTTGTGATCACAATCTGCCATTACACACTACCTATTTTTAGCTACTAACAGTCTCCATTAACAGCTGTTCACTCTCACAGCCAGATAGTTATTCACTCCTTTGTCTGTCCAACTGTTCTTCACTCTCTTTGGGCTCTATCCCCATCTATCGTTTACTCCTTACCCTATCCCCCCACCCTATCTTCTGCATATAAACTGACATTTTCCTAGCCACCATCAGTTCGGAGGAAGGGCCATCAGACCTGAAACGGTAAATCTGATTTCTCTTCACAGATGCTGCCAGACCTGCTGAGCTTTTCCGGCAACTTCGGTTTTTGTTGCAAGTCTTCCTTTCTTCCTTGCTTTCCATCTAAACAGACAGATGGGATCGCCTTTTAATGTCTCAGTCAAAAGATGAAAACTCTGCCTCGATACTGTGCTTGATAATGGTCAGAAGTCACACGGCACCAGCTTATAGTCCAATAGATTTATTTGAAATCACATGCATTCAGAGCGTGCTCCTTCTTCAGCTGAAGCAACTTCACTGACATAGGGCAATGCTCCAAAAGCTTGTGATTTCAAATAAACCTGTTGGACTATAACCTGGTGTCGTGTGACTTCTGACTTTGTCCACCCCAGTCCAACACCAGCACCTCCACATCACTGCTTCACGTGGAAATCTATACTTTATGCTCAAGTGTGGAGTGGGACTTGAACTCTCAAATCTTAAACTTAAGGGGAACCAGGCTATCTTTCAGGCAATGCTGAATTTAAAATAAAAGAAGAAAACATGATCAATTTCCAAAACCTCCCATAACCCCATGGAAATGTGGAATCTTTAAAATACATCCATGTCACTGCTTTAAAAATAAAAAGAAAGATTGCTCATCTGTTTGCATTGAAATGTAGGCCAGAAGGGAAATAGTTTAAAATTAAAATCATACAAGTTATCATAAACAAATGTGACAGTTTTTAAAACAGCATAGCACATGGCTGGCCTATTCTTAAATTCACATGCTGAATTCTGAATTGAAACATTAAAACAGATCCACAGTCCAATACGGCGAAGTATGGTGTAGCTTATTACTAAGCACTGTCGAAACTCATCAGTGATTTACAAACTTTACATAAAATAACACCATGCTTCCCTGTATTCGACTGTGGATCTTATTTAATGTTTCAATTCAGAATTCAGCATGTGAATTTAAGAATAGACCAGCCATGTGCTATGCTGTTAAAAGAAAAACTATCACATTTGTTTATGATAATTTGTGTGATTTGATTTTAAAACTATTAGCCTTCTGGCCTACGTTTTAAAGTAAACAGATGAGCAATCTTTCTTTTTATTTTCAAAGCTGTGGCATGGATGCATTTTAAGGATTCCACATAATGTTTGCACTCTTATCGGATTTTTAAAATGGCCATTGCATTTAGGGTCTTAGTGCAGATTAAACTCAACATTTTAAAATCAGAGGAATCTTCATTCAGAACCTAGCTGTTGCCAAGTAACATGACGAATTTACAAATGCTGGCTGGTTTTTCCCAAAAGTTTTCTTCCATAAACAAAAGATTAATTGAAAGCATTTGTTTTCATCAATAAAATTGGTCAGATATCCAGTGCAAATCTGTTTTAAATTCTCAGATGCTCAGGAATGCACCTTATTTTCCAAATTCTCTACAGTGTACAATGTACCTAACCATGTAAGGCATCAAATTCAATGTTATATAACAAAGCAGGCCACACTTTCCACATTTTCTCCAACAATTAGCGCAGTTTGACTGCAGCAGCCCTTTCTAGTGAGGTGCGCAAAACATTCAAGATTTAAAGACACATTGTTGTAGTTAAAATATGTGGAGTCTACTTTTGCCATGAGATTAGAATTTCAGTGTTAGCAGCATCTTGAACCTATTCCAATCCTTTAAACTGACCACTGCCTCAACCGTCAATAAGGAACACATTCGGCCCTGCTAGCTTATAACGCTCAAACACATCAACATTTTCGGGAATCCCAAACCAATGTGATCCTTTTTTTCACATTTTCATGTTAAAACATCAGGGGGGCTGATCACAACGGCTGAATCCCAGCACTCACAACACAAGGTAAGAAAAACAATTCCCACACTGGCAATTGATTCAAATCTGTGACTCTCAGCAGTTAAAAAGCATAGATGACAGTGT